TCTGCCCATTGCTTTACTTAAGTATATTATATTTTCCTTTTACAGCTGCAGGCTAAGGAAGATCATGAAGCACACCAGCAAATCCTAAAACGGACAACAGTTTACAGTTGTTTTTCAGCGGCAGCAGAAATATGACAAAAACTTTTGGGTGAAACCTGTTTACTTTTATTTTGTGTTTACACTTTTATTACTTGTGGAAAAACTTCAAACTATTTTAAATAGGTATAAAGAATGGCATTGATTTTTGTACATTTTATTTTTGTTTGACTTTATTAATAAAAATAATGTTTTTTAATTAGTATGTTTTTGTTTTGCTTTGGTACCGAGAGCCGTGGACTTTCACTGGTATTGGTACCGACATTTTGGTACCGTGACAACACTAGAGTTAACGAAGAGGGAAAAAAAAGAGAGCCGCAAATAATATTTCTTTCCACATGTAATGTTGATCCTGATTGGAGGGTGCAGTAAAATTTAAATCTGGTAATGTATGCAAATCTTACCTTTACTTTCTGTTGGTGGTGGTAAATTTGCCAGGCTATATGGACATGCATAGCACACCACTTTCCTGGTTTCTGTGGAGAGACAAGGTAAGATTTTCATGTTCAGACATGACTACATACATGTTAGTTTCATTTTATTGCTTTAAAACTTCTAAACACTTCTATTAGAGAATGCTGGGTACATCTGAAAATATTATTTATAATTTTATGTAATATCGTTGAACATTTTAAAGTAAAATTTAACTTGGAAAGTTAATATTAAGTTTCTTTGCATTTTCCCATGTTTTAGGCACAGTTGCAAATTAATTAAGGAAAATGTCATTACAAAGTGTTTTCAGTGATAAAGGAGTCATATAGAGTCTCGTATAGACTCTGAGATGAGACCGTCGAGTCCCAGCGCACTGCTAATTAAAAAGACTGCGGAGCAGAAGGCAGGTGCTCGGTGTAAGGTGGGATTAAACTGTAATGAGCTTTTACTTTATTCCTGCAGAGTCCTGTGGGGAAACAAACTGAATAACTGATAATGCAGTCTTACCCTGAGAACCGGCCGGAACGGATCTGTCAGCTAGAGAGGAGAGGGAAAAAGAGAGCAAGAGTGAGAGAGATTAGGGACACAAAGCTGTCAATCAGGACTTTTAATTAGCATCCGAGCATCACTTCATCACTGACCAAATTAAAATGTTAAAATTTCCCTTTCTAATGAAGCATTTCGTGGAATAATTAGGCCAGAATTCAGAGTATTCCCCTTCCTATCACTGCCTGCATACCAATGTGGACAACAGTATAACGTGACAGACAAACCTAACACTTAGTTTGCCCATAGTGTCATTCAGTACTAGTTTAAAAATACCACAGGTTTGTTTGTTGCAAAGAGCATGTTTGGGGTCCGTACCCGAGGGTCTTTCTGAAGGAGTGTGTGTGGGATGGCTCCAGGCCTGGCTGCCACATCTAGAGGGTTTGAGGTCTGTAGTACACAAAGACAAAACTTAAGTATTTTCAGCCAATCACATGATAGCTAAACCATCCAGTATCATCTCTCACTTACTCTAGCATTACCGATAGCTAACTGGGGTACACCACCAGACTGAACATCCTGAGAAAACATCTGAAATTGATTCTCTATTTATACTGTACCTATACATAACATTAAAGAAGAAACAGACTCTGAGATTTGTTTATATTTAGCTAGATCTGTTCCATGTGTGCAGGAGTACATTTGGAACAGCACAGGAGGTTAGTTTTGGGAGTAGTCATGACATTCCAACATACAGCATTTGATATTGTGATACCTTGGGCTGGAACGCTCCCTGCAGAGATCCGAAGGGCCCCGTTGGTGGGATGACGGGCGGAATGCCAGACACTGCTGGGGGGTAAGAGTGGAACAGCTGAGGAAAGAAAAAGGATACAAGATACAGTCACTCCTGAGGTTCTTGTTTGATCTTGTCAGCTGTTTACAGTTCTACAGTGAGACCGGAGCCTGCAGGTCCCTGTACAAACCAACAACTACAAAACATCAGCTGCTGACATTTAAATGACCCTCTTCATTACATGTTGCATAATATGAAAATACACACCATGTGAAAATAATTCACAACAATTTATGCTTAGTTTTTCTCTATGAATGAATAAAAGAAAGAATGAGACTATAAATCATCTATTCTGCTGCATATAATGATACAACCTTCATCTGACCTGCGGCTGTTGTGACATTCAACAAAGATTAACGGTGAGATGAATTTACAATATGGGTCACCCTCTAAACCAACTCTGATAGCAATGACTGTTATTATCACAACGCACTGCATAATACATGTAATTACTGCAGTGTGTGTTCATGGGTGGGTGTCACAAATGAATCATTGCTAAATGGCGACTCCATAATCGAAGGGCAGAGATCAAATAAATTAAAGTTGCATTAACCTGTTGGACAGGCAGGTAGAATGAAACATTTTATCTCTTATCAAGATCCCCACAGTCACCAGTGAGGTATTTCAATAAAAAATATCTTGCAGCCAATTCACTTAATAAAATTATGTTTTAATAAAAAAAGTTGTGCTTAATTTAGTAATGGTTAATGTAGTAATGTTTTTTATAAAAATATTAAGGCACTTAAGGCCAATTGTAGATATAATTACAGCTGGATCCTAAAAAAGCTGTGACCAGCATGGCCCCTATTGCTTAAAACACCCATAATGCCAAACATGATGAAATTAGATTATGGGAGCAAAAATTAAAAATGACAACAATCACTACACTAAGGAAGAAGAAAAAAGCCACCACAGCAAATTGCCAAAAACACGACGGACTCACGCTGTGTCTGTAGAAGGGGTCGACTTTAGTGGGGTATTTGTCGAACTGAAAGAACGAAGAAGTTTATAATTCAGCAGTCGTTGCAATACACACACAGGCACGCACATGCACAAATTTAGTAGTTACCTACAGTGTTCCCACAGTTTTTGACCATTGATTTTTTCCAGTCATCTCTGATGACTCACGGGATTTTTACAAATCATGTTGATGGATTTGATTTTTACAGACTCGCTAATAAATCATCATTTGTGAACTGGCCTGTATAATTCATTAAATAGACACATTATAGAAATGTCCATGACCGTGGGAACCCTGTATCTTATATGCATGCATTAATGTGTATACATCTATTTTATACATTCAGTCATCCTTTTAATCACTCAAGCATCTCCACCTTATTTTGCAATGCAGAAATAAGCTATTTTCTTTGAATGTGCGAGACTTCCGACTCATTAGCTTCTATAGGTAATAACTTGAAGAAAAATAAAAGCAGTAAACGGTAAAACTCTTTGCGCTATAAACCAGTGTATTTAATATAATAATGAATTAAAATAATATTATCACAAAACCAGCTTGCAATATCAAGCAGCATAACAGACTGTTTCTTGTACAGGTAAAATATCTAGAAGCAAATGACACCGGAAGCCTCCATCACCACAAGGTTTATTATTATAATTTTTTTTTTAGTTGTGTTCCACTTATCCTCACATTTCTGGCTGGGGTACGCACCATGGGTGGTGCAGGCGTGGGCATGATGGAGTGGGGGAAAGGGGTAAAGGTGTGCTGGTGTGTGTGTTGGTGTGTGTGCTGGTGCTGATGCTGGTGCTGGTGGAACTCAGTCCGCAGGTATGGAGGGGGACCCAGTGATGCCCCGCGATCAGCACTCTGAGATGCCAGGAAACGAGTGTTTAATTCCTGCCGGAGAAGGTCTTGTTCTGGGAGAAGGAAAAGGGAGTGAGAGTAAAATAAAGAAGTTTTAAAAACATATGAATAGGTACTGCCCCTTTTCAGAAGTGTTTATCTAAATGCATTGAGAACCATATTGGTATTGGTGATAATTACCTGATTCAACAGCTGGCAATAATATCTGATCTTATTTATGTTATGCATTCAAGGACGCTAGATGAGAGATTGGTACCTGAGTAGGCACTCCCAGCTGGGTGTCCGGGGACCGGCAGAGTGTTTGAGGTGAGAGGAGGAGGTGGAGGCAGAGCAGCAGGCGATGCAAACATATTGGTGTGATGAGGAAGAGTGGAGGGCGGCTGGGAGGGGGGGAAGGTGTGCGAAGCCGTGGGGTTTGCCGGCAGGGGCAGGGGGAAGGAGGCTGCTGCCCCAGTGGGGGCAGGTTGGTGATGGTGCAGGTGAGGGGCTGGAGAGGGGCCCGGGAGCTTCCCTGGAGTGCTGCTTCGACTGCTGCTGTGAAGAAAGAGAGAATAAACGATTGCAAAAACGTGCCTGTATAAAAGAGAACTCCTTTTCCAACCTATATTCATAAAACTCCTTTGTTCACTAAATTGTTTTAAGAGTGTCTGCTATAAATTTAGCAAAAGGATCCAGTTTCAGAAACCTGGAAAGTGTGGATACAGTGCTGAAGAATGTGTTATTCCTGGAGGGATTTCCCAGCTGCACGCTAAAGTATTTATCAGAGTTGTACGCAATCGAACAAAGAGCTAATTTGCAGGCTAAGTAATCATTTAAATGCTAATTATATTTATATTAAAAGCTGCACACATACAGAATAATACAAAGCATAATTATCATCAGCAGTCCAATGGCAAGATACTGCGCAGGGTGGACTACACAACAAATCTAAAGGACGGCGGAGAAGGGCGAAAGGAGGGAGGGGAAGATCTGCTTCTCTGCGGGATATTGGGGTGTTTTGAGTTGAGCAGAGGAAATGTTATCTACAAGCCGCCGCCAGCTACAAGGCAGCAGCAGCATCGACGTGGGAGGGGAATGAATCAAACCGTCTAATCTCTCAGCTGGGGTTCTCTCTGCGGTGCTGTCAGGCGCACACACACTCAACACACAAACATGCACAAACAGGGATTTGTGGCACATGCTTACTGGAGGATTGATACATTGTAATACAGAAATCACACTGTTCCGCTACAGTATTTAAGAGCTGGGGCTCTGAACAGCTGCTCAGTCAGTGTGTATAACACATCTGGAGCGTAACAGACACTTCCTGCTAAGCTGTGCTTTTATATTTAACTCCATTACACCCATTTGCTATCCACTTACCTCAGGCCGTTGAGGGTAAGGCTGCTGCTGTAGGCCGAGATTGGGCGCGGATGGCAACGAGAGGGCGGTCTGTGCTGCACAGGTTGGGTGGGGTTCTGCTGGGATGGTAGCGCTGGTGATGGGGGGTGATTATAGATGCCTGGAGTTCGAGGTGGCCTTGGGTGAGGTGGAGGCTCAGGTGGGTGCTGAGGCTGGGCTGGGGGTGCCTGAGAGGGCTGTTGGCCCTGGGTTTGAGGAAGGGTGGTAGGGGGTGACAGCGGTCTAAGTGGACGGTCTGGGCAAGGGTGCTGGGTTTGGACTGGGCTTGGGGGCAAGGGTATCCCCCGGTTAGAGCGGGGTGGCTGGATGTGAAGAGGGGCGGGGAGGGGAGGTTTGGGATGGGAAGTGGGCACCAGTGAGGGGGTGGCCGAGGAGAGTTCACGGGATGTCTCCTCGCTCTTCTCTTGACTGCGCTCTAGGCCTGACACCTTGGGAATGCCCAGGCCTCGCAGCTCCTGGCTGGCATTGGTGGAGAGCGTGTCAATGCTACAATCTGGAACTGAAGAGATGGAAAAAAAAACAAAAAAAAAAAACGAGTGTTTCCGAAAGTATACATAAATATTATGGAGATAAAGGTCTATCAATTGACTTAACACAAAACAAATTTAAACTCAGGAAACAGCAAGACAGAAAATAAAGCCTTGTGCCACGGAAAACTGATTACTTTATTTCTCAAAGGCAGGTCTTTATTGCTGCTTCAGTGTTTTTAAAATAGCAAAATTAATTCGCAATTCTGTTCTGCCAGGTCAAACGTGTCTTACTCATAACCAGATTCTGAGACCTAACATACAATCATCATGAAGAATTAGAGCCTAATAAGCCTACATGTAAGTTCTTGTGAATGCCTTAATGTTTTTTTTTTTTTATTAGGGAAAGGTCATAAAATGTCCAAAGGAAAACCTGACCGGCACACCCAAAAGCGGATGTTAGTGTTTTATTGTACAAATAAATGCACTCCATGATTGAGAAAGAAAGAAAAAGAAAGAGACTGTCAACCAAGATTCACTGTATTCTCTGGGACCAAAGGCTAATGGGGGATCACAGTGCATGCATAACTCCTTTCTCTGTCTGCCTCAGAGGGAACCACACCCATCTGTCTTTTCCATCTCTTCACACCCAGCCAGGCCTCCTTTGCTAAAGTAAGGAAACTTTGCTTCTTTTGATCCTGTAAACAAACGCTGGTTTTCACGAGACTCACCGGCGCATGCGCAACGCTGACCCCATACGTCATGCTCTCGGAACTGCTTCTGTGTACAACTGCTGGCGCAAGCTAGATTCAAGTGATTATTACGTTTTGAATATGGATATTTTTCTTACAAAAACGCATCGATTCGCTACAGGAGGCCTTTGTTCACCCCCCGGAGCCGTGTGAGACACTTTTTTTTGTGGAAGGGTGCTTTTTATTTCACGTCATTTGAACCGAAGGAATGCAACACCCGCTGAGTACAACGATAGAGCTTGAAAGATCAAAGACAATTTTTTATGTAACTCCGACTGGATTCGTCTGAAAGAAGAAAGTCATCTACACCTAGGATGACTTGAGGGCGAGTAATTTATGGGCTAATTTTCCTTTTTGGGTGAACTAACCCTTTAAGTAGTGTGTAGAATTAACACCTGCTGCACCATCTAGGCATAGTGCTACATCTGAGACTAAATCTTACGCCTAGGTAGGTGTTAAGCGAAAAGTCACGATTTGCTCGGACATTATTCGTTTTTAGGATTCATGTTTGTGAATTAATTATTACTGCAGAAGTGAACTGTAATGCGTATGGTCTTATAAGGATAAGCGATATCAGTTGCAAAGCTTGGTGTAGGCTGTACCACACTGCCAACAGTAATTGACCTAACGCAAAATATATTTATATATGTAATTATGCCGTAAAATATTACACATGATCTGGGATCATTAAAAGAAACTGTACCATTTGTCATCTTGCTTAAAGGGACAGTATAAATGCTTGGAAATATTTCACGTCTTTAAGTCCATTCATTATTTGTAGCATACCTGCCATTCAATAATCGCAATAAGTTTTGTGCTTTGTTACTTTTAATCAGAAATAAAGCTTTCAAATTCTGTTAATTTGATCACAAATTAAATAGTCAATAAATAAATTAATAAATAGTGGCTTTGACACTGTAATGTGGCATTCGCTGTTGCACCTCAGTTCAAGCGGCACATAAACCAATCTGTTCTTCTTTGCTACTAGTTATAGCAAAAATAAACATGAATGAACATCAGAAAAGTGTTGAAAGTAGGGGTGGGCGATATGGCAAAAATATCATATCAGGATTTTTTTTACAGGAAAATCACAATTCACGACTTTATCATGATTCTTTGTCATGTTGGGTTTACTATTTTTCAAGTGGTCTGAGAAGTACAGCCAAACTAATTTTCCTATTTTAAAGGGGTCATGAATTGAGAAATCAACTTTTACTTGAGCTTTTGATGTATAAGAGGCCATCGTACTAAAAGAATATCCTGTAAGTTTCAGAGCTGAAAACGTTCTTGTTACTGAAATAAAAGCTTTTATTGACACCAGGCCCAGTGAACGCCAGATCCTGGAATGTGCCTATCTATAGGTTAAACACTGCCTCCACAGAAGAATATCAATGCCTAATTCTGTAGCCCCACCCACTGATTCGCGCATTACATAGTAGGGAAATAACATGAGTGGCACTAAACCAGATCGAGCAGGTATGAAGCAATGAACATGCCGCTGAAGATTGCAAAATATTGTGCAGTGCCTGGTTGTGGAAGATCACAGTCGCTGCATAACCTTCCTTCGGATTCAAATATTAGAAATGCATGGTTGAACTTTTTTTAAATGAAGTTTCAGCTCACGTGAGTAAAACATTGAGCGTTTGTTCGCTTCATTTCATCGTGGATTCCTTTGTAAACAAGACACAGGTCGATGCTAGATTTGCAGAGAGACTTAAAAAGCAATGCTGTACTGTTTAAATTGGATCCGACAGGAATGGGGCACACTTATGTGAGTAAAAAATAGTTGTACCATGTGTCACTATTGCTTTGTTAGAGATCGCTTGATATGTCCTGATTATGTGTGTGTCTAACCAAAGTCACAGAAGGATCCAACTATGAAGTTAGTCTGTAGTTAGTTTACTATGCAAAACTATTATCCAATCATAGCAGTGGGCGTTTACTTCCAAGTCTTCAATGCGGCATCCCATAAAAACCGAGCGTTTCTCGAGCCGGCCTCAAAACCAGGGTAGAAAATAGCCTATTACTTTTTGATTTTGATGTTTTTGAATGTAAAAACCACATGAACGTCTTAAGTGGACCTCAGACAACAGTACAAAAAAAAAAGCCAGTTCATGCCCCATTTAAAAACAAAGCCTAACAAGGTAACAAAATATAAAATAAAAAAGAATGGCAGACATTTAGGCCAAAGTGGGCAAAGATCATAATCTTTGTCATTATTTTATCTTTGTTATTAAAAAATAAAAACAAAGATACACATTACAGATACAGGTATTACAAATAAAGATAATTTATTAATAAAATTACTATTGTTTTGCATTAATAAGTGCAATTTCTAATAATATTACATGTTTATTTCTTGGTAATACACATTTGACAGTAAAACATTGAGCTTGAGTTGGGAAGCAAACAAAATGTACTTTTATTAACAACAGTAACGTGCAAAATATAATTTTTATATAAAAAATAATGTATTCTACTCTTATTAAATGTACCATTATTCTTCTTTAGTATTATATGGAACTGACTGATAACTTCAGTGATTATTAGGGCTGGGTATCGTTCAAAATTTTTCGATATCGATACCGATACCTTGACTTCGATACCGGTTCCGGAACGATACTTTTTTCGATACTAATTTTATGAAATCAATTTTAACAAGATTACATTATCTAAAAAAAAAA